ATCATTAAAAATAAATCTGTTCCCTAAACCCCATAAGCCCAGTATAATCATGCATCAGGCACATCCAACAGGGAGACATTCTACAAAATACCTGATTAGTGCTCCTCAAAACTGTCAAAGTCACCAACAACAAGGAAAACCTGAAAAACTGTCACTGCCAAGAGGAGCCTAAGGAGATACGATAACTACATGCAATGTGGTCTCCTGGATAGGATCTGGGAACAGAAATGTTAGGTCAAATCAAGGAAATCTGAATATGGAGTTAATAATGTATCAATATTGATTAATAATTTGTCTCAAATTTATCATACTAATGGAAGATGCTAACAATAGGGAAACTGGGTGTGGGATGTATCTTCACAATTTTTCTATAAATTTAAAGGTGTTCTAAGTTTACTAAAAAATAAAGCATGCGCACAAGCAAAAGTGTAACAAATGAAGTCACTGATGTGAACAGATAACTATGAATGCATTTCTGAAATTTGCTAATATTACTAGTCTATACCTAACATAATGAGTCATTTGTGATCTCTAAGGTTTTCTTGAAATAACCAGAGATCACACATGAAATTGCAGAAGATAATCATATATAATACATATTGGGTTGAAAGTTTGGTGCTTAAGAACATAGAGACAGGAATCAGAATGCCTCAGTTTAAACCCTGGTGCTATTATTTACCAGCTCTATGATCTTGAGTTAGTTATCTCATTAATCTGTACCTTGGTTTTTGAGTCTGTAAACTAATGATAAAATACTTCAGTGGGTTGCTCTGAGGATGAAATATGTTGATATTTGTACAACAATGCGAGGCAGTTAGTGTTATAAAAATGTTTAATAGTGAGAAAAAATAAATCTGTTAATTTACTTATTGAGCACCCTGTGTACCAGGCATTATGTTAAGTGTTAAGGACAATTGTGAAAAAGAGAGACAATGCTCCTACCCTCAAGGAGTTTACTGTTTAATTGGCAGAGACAGACAATAAACAAACAAGTAATTGTAGATTGCAATAGTGCTAGGAAAGAAACAACAAGCCAAAGTTACGGTAAAAAAGATGCTTTAGACGGTCGGGCACAGTGACTCATGCCTGTAATCCCAGCACTTTGGGAGGCTGAGGTGAGGGGATCACGAGGTCAGGAATTCGAGACCAGTCTGGCCAACATAGTGAAATCCCGTCTCTATTAAAAATACAAAAAATATTAGCCAGACGTGGTAGTGTGTGCCTGTAATCCCAGCCATTCGGGAGGCTGAGGAAGGCAAATTGTGTGAACCCGAGAGGCAGAGGTTGCAGTGAGCTGAGATCATGCCACTGCACTCCAGTCTGGTGACAGAACGAGACTCCGTCTCAAAAAAAAAAAAAAGAAAAAGAAAGAAAAGATTGTTTATTTATATTTCTTTGACTCCTTGTGATAATGAACATGTATTAATATATTTTTTAATGACTTAGTTTTCTTCTTTTGTCAATTGTGTGTGCCTTTTGTCTGTGTTTCTGTTGTGTGATTGTTTTTTACACTGATTTGTAAGGGCTGTTATTTATTTATTAGTGGTACTAATCTTTTCCCTAGTTTTATATTTGTTTTCTATTTTTTTGAGACAGGATCTCACTCTATTGACCAGGTTAGTGTGCAGTAGAATGATCATGGCTCACTGCAGCCTCCACCTCACCTCACCAGTAGAGACAGAGTTTTATTACACCATGTTGCCCAGGCTGGTCTCAAATTCCTGGGCTCAACTGATCCGCCCACCTCAGCCTCCCAAAGTGCTGGAAATACAGGTGAGAGCCACTGTGCCTGGTCTATTTTTGTTTTAAAAATATATACATACGAGATTTTAATTTTCATGAGGGCCACTTTATCCCACTTTTCTTTAAGACGTCCTCCATTACTTTTACAAGAAAAGTGTAACATTTTTCTTCAATCCCCAAACATGTTTTCTAATACATTTTTCTTTCAAATATTTCCTAAATTCATTTTTTACATTTAGCTCTTTTATTCATCTGACTTTTATTTCTGGATAAGTGTGATGTAAAGATTCAGACTGAAATTTTTTTCTAAATCTGGTCAATTTCTTGAATAATCCTTTTTCCTTCTATTTGTGATGTTATCATTTCCTAAATTCTTTTACATACTAGAGGTTTATTTCTGTAATTTCTATCATATTTCTCTGGTTTTAAAAACATTACTGTTTTGATTACTGTAGCTCTATGGAATATTTTATTATTGATATGGCAGGTGCTACCTCCTCACCTTTTCTCCTCCAAAATGTTCAGTTATTACTACCAACTTTTTCTTTCAGATAAACTCCTGAGTTACTTTGACAACCTTCAATAAAAGTCCAACTAAGTGATTGGAATTTTATTAATGTCTTATACTATATTGAATAGAGTTTTTATGTTTCCAACACTACAATTAATGTTCCACCGAGGAACATATTACATTTGTTAATTTGTAAGATTTTCCTTCTTATTTCTATATAAAATCTTCCCCGAATAAATTATTAAATATTTAACTCTATTTTCACTTATTTGAATTGAAATGTAGTTAATATTCAATGCTTATGTGAATTTCAACCTAGTATATCTACTCACTTTTATTTATTAGTATGTCTATTCTGTGGTTTCAATCATACTTGTATAGTACATCTTGATATCTGGTGGTGCAAGTTACCTTTTATTATATTTACTTTTTTTCACTTAAAAATTGATACATAATAGTTGCACATATGTAATATCGCTATTTGTTTTCAAAGTAGAGATATTCCATTCATCATTTTCTTTTTTTTCCTTCTGCTATGAGATTTGCTTTGCTGTTCTTCATTTCTAACTTCTTTTGCTAATGATTAGTTGTTTTATTTTCAGTCTGTCTTGGTATACTTTTTAAGGCTGTGAATTTGGCTCCAATTATAAATTTGGCTGCACTGCATAAATTTTGTAATGTAATATGTCCACTATTTCTATTTTCTAATTACACTGTAATTTCGATTTCCCATTAATGATTATTTACAACATAATTTTTAAGATTTCAAAGCAGTTGTTTTTCTTTATTTGCATAAACATTCTTTTAATTTTAAATTTCATTATGCTGTAGTCAAAAAATGTGACTCGTATAATTGACACTTTGGGGGATTCATATGGTTTTTCATGATTAAACTTTGTTCCCAACATAAAAAATATGATAAATGTTTGAGATAATGGATATGCTAATTACCCTGATCTGATCACTATACATTGTGTGTATCAGAACATCACTATGTACCTCATATATACAATTGTATATACATAATATACAATTATGATGTATCAATTATAAAAACTTCCAAGGCCGGGTATGGTAGCTTAGGCCTGTAATCCCAACACGTTGGGAGGTGGGCAGATCACTTGAGGTCAGGAGCCTGGCCAACATGGTGAAACCCTGTCTCTACTAAATATACAAAAATTAGCCAGGCGTGATGGCAAACGCCTGTAGTTCCCGCTACTCAGGAAGCTGAGGCACAAGAATAGCTTGAATCTGCAAGGCAGAGGCTGCAGAGAGCCGAGATAGTGCCATGGTACTCCAGCCTGGGTGACAGAGTGAGACTCTGTTTCAAAAAGAAAAAAAGAAAAAACAAAAAACTTTCAAGAAAATTTATACATCTAGAAAAAATTAAATAGCACAAATGAGTTTGTCTGAAAAGCAAGAGTCAATCTGTCAACCTTTTCTTGTTCTTACTCTCTCTCTTGTCTTTGTGTTTTTACTTTCTTTGGGGATTGTTTCCACACCTTGTTATAATGTGTTTATGCTGCCATTACTTGATTTATCAATTGTAGGTAATATTAATTGACTCTGCACTATGGACAGTGAGAATTGACATCCTTACACTATTTATTTTCCCTTTCCCAATTTCTAATAGTTAAATGAATCTTTTCAGTTCTTTTATTAATTACTGTACAATTTTACAACATTAAATATCTTTCTCATGTATAAGTTTTGTTTTTAGATATTTTGATATTATTCACCACTTATATAATCATGATTGTTCTACCTTCAATATGTATTGTGACCATTATCAGTATAAATTGGCATTTTCTCTTATATTGCATTTTCTGCCTTAAATTCTCATTTTTTGATATTATTAGTCAACTCTGCTCTTTCGTTTTTCTCTTTTTTGACCAACTTTTTTGTTAATCTCTCCAAAACATTCTTGCTGAGAATATAAATTTTATCTCTTACCTAGTGTTAAGAATTTTCTTAACATATTTTAATTTAGACTTATCTTACCTAGTGTTAAGAAGATTCTCAACACTAAGTAAAATTCTAAACTAGGTATATTCTAAATTAGGTATATAGGAAGTCTAAATTAGGTATATTTTGATAATGACATGTCTGTCATTTATTTATTTTTTTTTAAACTTTGTTCTGAATTCCAGTTTTCTGCTCTATGGACATTGATTTCTTTGTTTTTGGTAATCCTACTTCTATCTGTATTACTCTACAAATCAACGTAACAATTTTAATTTTTCCTACATATAGTAATGAAGTAAACATGTTTTTACTATTACCTTTTCCCCTACCCACTTTCAGACTCTGATAACACCATCTATCAACACAGAGCTATTATTAAATTATCTTTTTTACTTTTGTATTCATTTTCTTTCAAGATAATATTCTATTTTCTAGCCACATTTATAATAGTTGGTTATCCTGAATTCTGTGTTTACTGATTTAATATAATACTCAGGTTTTTAATATTTAATACTAAATATTTAATATTCAGTTTTTTAATACTATGGAAGTCGCATTTTTGACTTCTTTGATTTAACTCTTAATGAGTTAGGGTCTATATTCAAGTACTTTTTCTGAGTTGTATCTGGGTCATAATCTCTATCAGTCCTGTTTTTGTCGAGAATATCTTCCTAGTTTTTCTGATTGAGTCACTTTTAATCACTGTGTCGTTATTTAGTCATTATGTATATAAACATATTTATACACATATTTATTTATTATATTGATATATTTATTACAGAAATTGGCTCAGGTGATTATGAATGCCAAGAAGTTTCACCATCTGCCGTCTACAAGCTGAGAACCAGGAGAGCTGGTGATGTAATTCAGTTTGAGTTCAAAGGCCTGAGAACCAGAAACTCTGATGTCCAAGGGCCAGAGAAGATGAATGTCCCAGTTCAAGAAGAAAGAGGGAAAACTCACCCTTCTTTAGCCTTTTTGTTCTACTGAGGCCCTCAATGGGTTGGATGATGACTGCCCACACTGGTGAGGGTGGATCTTCTTTACTCAAGTCTACTGATTTAAATGCTAATCTCTTCTGGGAACACCTCCACAAATACACCCAGAAATCTTGTTTTACCAGGTATCTGGGTATCCCTTAGCTCAGTTAACTTGACGCATAAAATTGACCATCACAGTTACCATGTTTTTCCTTTAAAAAACTGTGAAGACTTTGCTCTATTTTATTTATTTATTTATTTATTTTTGGTGTTTAGTTTTAAGGAGAAATCTGAGAAGACTCTATGTTTTTATCTTTTAAAATAATTTATTTTATGTTTGGCAATTGTTTTTTTCTGACTGTCGGTCTCTTTTTAATCAGTGTTGACTGGTACTTTTAAATCTTTTTATTTAGTAGACATAAATTTTTCTTTAATGCTGGAAGGCTTTTTTTCCCCCACCTTTATCTTTGATTTTTGCTCTATTTCAATTTTGTTCTATTTGTTTTGGTCTCATTTTTAGGAATATCAATTATCTGCAGATTTGATTTCTGTTCTCACGTCTACATCTATCCATCTTCTCTCATTTTATTTTCTTCTCTTCCCTGCCCTTTACATTTTTGAAGGATTTTCTAGGTTTGTTTTTAGGCAATTAATTTGATTTTCTACAGTGTCTATGATTATATTTTCTGCTTCTAATGCAGATTTTCATGGTGTTATTTCATTTCTATTTTCCTTCTCAGCAAGCTTATCTTTATGTCTCTGTATTTCATTCACCTATTTTTAAAGTTGTGTCTAACACCTGATACTCCCAATTTTTATTTGCTTAATGGTATCCGTATTCTCTTGAACCTAATTAAAAACTAAAATTTATGATTTCTACATTTCTTTAGTCTTCTGTGTCAATAATTTTCAGAAGACAGCTGTTTGAATCAGTCAGGGATCTTAATTTAACGTGGAAGAAATTGACTTTGGCTAATTTAAGTTGAGTGTATTGATGTTGGGTAGTCTCTGGATTGTTGAATAGAGGGCATGCGCTGGATAACTGAACCTAGAGGTGACATGGCTGGAATCCTGTCAAAATCACACCACAGAACTGGCCAGGTGAGCATTCTCTGCTATTTTTGCCAAGCACCCAGTGCCACAGCTTCCACCTCTGTCATTATTTCCTCCAGAAACTATGTTGCTGCCATGGTTGCCCTTCTGCCATCTGAATGGATTCTCCATTGTTCTGCTTTTTGCATTACTAGACACTGGTTCATAGTTCAGGAAGCATGCACATGTTTGGCTGAACCTAGATTACATGTCCATGGTCTAACTGCAAGTAAGTCTGGTAAGCAAGTTTCTGATCTTTTTAGCACCTGTAGTAGAAGGTGGCCTCTGTCTCCCACCAAGGCCTACAAAGAGTGAAAACATGAACAAAGAATGGACAGTCAATACAGTAGGGTCCATTATATTCTTCTTTGTATCTTGAGTGCTGTGCTATTTTTCCTTCTGTTTCAGAAACTTGTAAATTCTCAAGCTTGATTTTTACGTTTTTTTAAATGAGTATATTCCTTTTAACAAGGATATATATAGCAGAGCTTGCATTTGCCAAAAACAATGAGTAGATTTCTTTGGTCCCTGGCACTGCTGGTGATTACTTTTCAAAACCTTCTTTTGCCTTTTGAAATACTAAGCATGGTGGGTAGAGTGGGAGAAAGCTTTCCCACAGGAATAATTAATATTTTTTAATCCACTTTGGTTACTGTTGAAGCATCAAAGGTGGAGTGAAAAAGGAGAGGTATTTCTCAGCCTGAACTGAAACAGCTATCTTTTGGAATAAGCACATTAGGTTTCTTCTTTTAATGGCCAATATCATTCTGAATGGGCAAAAGCTGGAAGCATTCCCCTTGAAAACTGGCACAAGACAAGGATACCCTCTCTTACCACTCCTATTCAACATAGTATTGGAAGTTCAGGCTATGACAAGCAGGCAAGAGAAAAAAATAAGTGTATTCAATTAGGAAGAAAGTCAAATTGTCTTTGTTTGCAGATAACATGATCTTATAGCTAGAAAACCCCATTGTCTCAGCCCAGAAGCTTCTTGAGCTGATAAGCAACTTCAGCAAACTCACCGGATACAAAATCAATGTGCAAAAATCATGAACATTCCTATATACCAACAATACACAAGCAGACAGTCAAATCATGAAAGAACTCTCATTCACAATTGAAATAATATTTTAGTGGGCTGTAACCTTATTTTAAGTCGAGGAGCATCTATATTATGTGAAGTGTCTGTTTAATTCTTTTGTTCACAATTCTGTCCATTTTCTTATTGAGCTGTAAGAATTCTTTATGTATTCTGAATACTAGCTGTTTGTCAGATTACAAATATTTTATCTCATGATATGGCTTGTCTCTTCATTTTTTTCAAGATGTCTTGATAAGCAAAAGTTTCAAGTTTTGATGAGATCTAATTTACCAATTTATTTAAATGGTTTGTGGTTTTGTGTCCTATCTAAGAAATTATTACCTACTCTGAGGTTGCAAGGATTTTCTTCTTTGCTTTTCTTTTGTTCCATCACATTTAGGCCTATGGACAATTTTGATTAATTTTTCTTTATGATATAAGATAAGGGTCAATATTCATTTTCTCACCTAAGGGTATCTACTTGTTCCAGCACAATTTGGGGAGAAAACTTTCCTTTCTTTTTCAAATTACCTCAGCACTTTTATTGAAAACTAATCAAATATGTATGAATTTATTTCTTGGTTCTATATTCTATGCAAATTGATCTATATGTCTATCTTTCTGGCACTACTACATTGTTTTGATTACTGGGTCTTAAGAGTAAGACTCGAAATCAAGTAGTGTAAATATACCAGTTTTTTTCTTCTATTTTGAAAATGCTTTTTATTTTCTAAGTCATTTTGATTTCCATATAAAATGTATAATTAACTTGTAATTTTCTACAAAAAAGTTCTGTTGAAATTTTTTGGCATTATGTTAAAACCATAGATACATTTGGAAAGAGACATCTTAATTATATTGTCTTCTAATCCATGAACATGGTATACCTCTCCATTTATTTAGATCTTTGCTAATTTAACTCAGCAGTGTTTTGTTCTTTTTGTTATAGGAATCTTGTTTCACTTGTTAAATTTATTCCTAAAGATGTTATATTTATTTGGTGCTATTATAAATGCAGTTTTGAAATTTGTGTTCCAATTGTTTGCTGGCAATATGTAAAAATTCAATTAATATTGATTTTATCTTGATTTTTAAAAATCTAATTCTATAATCTGAGATCTTGATAAATTTCCTCGTTAGTTCTAGTAGGTTTTTGGTATCATCCTGAGGGTTTTCTACGTAAGTAGTCATGTTACTTGCAAATAGAGGCAGTTTTATTTATTCCCTTCTAATCATTATGCCTTTTAATTTTTCTTAATTTGTTAAATTCCTAGCACCATTAGCGTTGAATAGAATTGGTGAGAGCAGGTATCATTGCCTTCTTTCTGATCTTAAGGGAAAAGCATTCATTATTTTATCATTAAATATAATATTAGCTATACATTTTTTCCTAGATATTCTTTATCACATGGAAGAACTTCCATAATTTGCCAAGAGTTTTTGTCATGAATGGGTGTGAAATTTTGTCAAGTGCTCTTTTATTCAGAGGTTAAAATATCACAGGATTTTTAAAAAACTTATTTTAGGTTCAGGGGTACATGTGAAGATTTGTTACATAGGTAAACTTGTGTCATGGAGGTTTGGTGTACAGATTATTTTACCACTCTGGTACTAAGTCTAATATCCAATAGTTCTTTCTTCTGTTCCTCTCCCTCCTTCTAAACTCCACTTTCAAGTAGGTCCCAGTGTCTGTTGTTCCCCTTTGTGTCCATGTGTTCTCATCCTTTAGCTCCCATTTATAAGTGAGAACGTGTGGTATTTGGTTTTCTGTTTCTGTGTTAATTTGCTGGAGATAATGACCTCCAGCTCCATCTATGTCCCTGCAAAAGACATGATCTCGTTCTTTTTATGGCTGTGTAGTATTGCATAGTTTATATGTACTACATTTTCTTTATCCAGTCTACCATTGATGGACATTTAGGTTGATTTCATGTCTTTGCTATTGTGAATAGTGCTGAAATGAACATATGTGTACATGTGTCTTTAGAGTAAAATGATTTATATTCCTTTGGGTATATACCCAGTAATACAATTGCTGGGACGAATGGTAGTTTTGGTTTTAGCTCTTTGAAGAATTGCCACACTGCTTTCCACAATGGCTGAACAATTTACACTCCTACCAACAGCATATAAGTGTTCCTTTTCTCCACAACCTTGCCAGCATCTATTATTTTTTGACTTTTTAGTAATAGTCATTCTGACTAGTGTGAGATGATATCTCATTGTGGTTTTGATTTGCATTTCTCTAATGATCAGTGATAATGAGCTTTTAAAAATATGCTTGTTGGCTGCACGTGTGTCTTCTTTTGAAAAGTATCTTTTCATGTCCTTTGCCCACATTTTAATGGGGTTGTTTTTTTCTTGTAAATTCATTTAAATTTTTTATAGATGCTAGTTATTATACCTTGGTCAGGTACATAATTTGCAAAAATTTTCTCCCATTTTGTAGGTTGCCTGTTTACTCTTTTGATAGTTCCTTTTGCTGTTCAGAAGGTCTTAATTAGATCCCATTTATTAATTTTTGCTTTTGTTGCAACTGTTTTGGCGATTTCATCATGAAGTATTTGCCAATTCCTATGTCCAGAATGTCATTGCCTAAGTGGCTTTCTAGGGTTTTTTATAGTTTTCAGTTTTACATTTAAGTCTTTAGTCTATCTCGAGTTGATTCTTCTATATGGTATAAGGAAGGGGTCCATTTTCAATTTTCTGCATATGGTTAGCCAGTTATCCCAGCATCATTTATTAAGTAGGGTGTCATTTCCCCATTGTTTGTTTTTGTCAAAAAAAATCAGATGATTATAGATGTGTGGCCTTATTTCCTGGCTCTCTATTTTGTTTTATTGGCCTATAACCAAAACAGCGTGCTACTGGTA